GCTGGCCAAGAGTATTCCTGTTAATAGTACATTCAGCCATCTGAGCTGAGAGATGGATGAAATATAGTGAGGAACTTCATCACAACTTCTGCCGCATTTATTTTTATGTTAATCAGAATTAATATTTTTTTTTTTGACAGGCAGAGTGGATAGTGAGAGAGAGAGACAGAGAGAAAGGTCTTCCTTTGCCGTTGGTTCACCCTCCAATGGCTGCTACGGCTGGTGCGCTGCGGCCAGCGCACCGCGCTGATCCGATGGCAGGAGCCAGGTGCTTCTCCTGGTCTCCCATGGGGTGCAGGGCCCAAGCACCTGGGCCATCCTCCACTGCACTCCCTGGCCACAGCAGAGAGCTGGCCTGGAAGAGGGGCAACTGGGAAAGAATCCGGCGGATTAGCCTATTGAGCCACGGCGCCGGCCTAGAATTAATTTTTAAAGAGTATTTGGGAGGTAGAGTTATGGATAGAGAGAGGGAGAAACAGAGAGGAGGTCTTCCACCCCCTGGTTCACTCCCCAAATGGCCTCAACGGCCAGAGCTGAGCCAATCCGAAGACAGGAGTTGGGAGCTTCTTCCCGGTCTCCATGAGTGTGCAGGGGCCCAAAGCCCATGGGTCATCTTCCACTGGTTTCCCAGGCCATTAGCAGAGAGCTGGATTGGAAGTGGAGCAGCCAGGACTCAAACTCCAGCTGGCACTCATATGGGATCCCAGCACCGCAGGAGGAAGCTTAGCATACTATGTCACAGCACCAGCTCCAATTAGAATTATTCTTAATGAAACAATGTTAGTTTATCATTTTCTTTAGCACAACAGAGGAAACTACATCTCTTTTATGCTTAGCTGTTAATCTATGCTAGTTTATATCGGACTTCTCACTATTTTCAGTATTGAATATACAATTGCATATGATTTTTTTTTATTTGATAAATGTTGGCTGCTCGGAAAGTTCATGAAAAATTTTACCTTAAAAAATTTTTTTTTAATTTCGAGGTTTAAATATACACAAACAGGTAATAGAAGCCACGGCCAAGAACGGGAGAATTTGCCGGACTGCGTCGATTTGGTGCATGTGTAGTTTCAAGTCCCACTTCCTAAGAAACCCTGGGCAGGCGGGGGTCCACCTGTTAAGTGTTGCATTGAAATTGAACTTGACATCTGATGCAAAAACGGGGATTTTCGGTATGCCTGCAAGGGAGAACTGCACTTGTATTCTAAAGGGTCTCCAACATCGCAGAGGCGACTTTATTAAAGCAGTGGGACGCCCGGTGGGGCGGCCGGCGGGTGCCAGACGCGGAAGAACTTAGCGGCCTCAGTGCTTTCAGCTGCGTTCCCCGACTTCCCGGACTCGCGGAAGCGTCGACACCGGAGCGAGGCCCTTGCTTATTGGCTGTCATCCAGAGCAGGAGGCCGCCACCGATTGGCTGCCCTTTGGGCGGCTCCCGCTTTCTTCCTCCCAGGAGCGCAGTCGCTGATTGGCTGATGTCCGAAACGTGTGTCCTGATTGGAAAAACCCTTCTAACGCAGGCTGCGGCTCTGGTTGCTACCAAAGCACAGCGACTTTCTGTTGCGGTGAAGATGAGGCGTTGAATTCTCGCTGTGTTCTCGCGCGCGACCCGCGAGAGGCTGCAAGGGATACTTCAGCCCATTGTGGCGCTGAGCTGCTCAGCTCTTGTTACCGTGTCGGTGATTTAAGTGCCAGTTACTCTGCAGGGAAGGTGTTCTGATAAGTTTTTAAAAATGCCTTGGGAAAAGCAGGACGTAGGGCATTGAAGGTGTCCAGTCCAAGTCAGTGCCAGGAGCAGCCACTGTCGATACAGGCAGCTCCGGGGGCACAGAGGGAGCGCAGCGCCCCCCTGCCGGCTGGAAATCTTCCTGTCTCCTGCCCTGAGGGTAGTCATATCCCTGCTGTGGCTGGAAATGTTGGAGCCGCCTAAATGCCCATCAGTCGGGCACCCGTTGAATACCATTTGCACACCTATAACATGGAACCCTATACAGGAACACTATACATGAGCTGATAAGAAGAATACAATGATAGCTAAATAAGCACATACTACGCCGAGTCCTGTTTCCAGTATCATGTGTGATAAAATAAGCTCAAGGATCGAGGAGGTAAGAATAAATGCGTGCTCCCACCCGCATAGGTATTTCTAGAAGCGTATAAGGAGCAGGTGGTGGCAGCTTCCCGGAGGGCAGCAGAAAGGCCAGGGCAGGAGGAGCCTCCCTTTTCATGGTATATGCTTTTGATACTCATCTTTTGTGGTGCATTGTCTGTACTAAAGCACTTTTTTTATTTTGAGATTTATTTATTTGAAAGAGTTTGAATTTTTCCATCTGCTGATTCACGCCCCAAATGGCCATAAGGACCAGGGCTAGCCAAGGCCAAAGCCAGGAACGAGAAACTTTATCTGGGTCTCCCATATGGGGCAGGGACCCAAGCACTTGGGCCATCTTTTGTTGCTTTCCCAGGCACACCGGAAGTGGATCAGCTGGGACTCAACTAGTATTCAAATGGGTGCCAGTGTCACAGATGGCAGCTTAATCCCCTGCACCACACTGGTCCCAACTTCAATTACTTTTAAAACAATGATTTTACAAGCTCAAGTGACTTGGGAACGGACAGGGGGCTCAGGTAGGATTGGGAGTGTGGACAGAAGCCTGATGACCCCTGTGCAGGTGGCTGGAGCTCTGAGCCTCGCTGCCCAGGGGTGTGGGGTGTTTCCCGTGTCTCCAGGTCTCTTGCACATCACAGAGCACAAGAAGCAGCTGAGTGAGAGAGGGGGAGTCTTGCTCCCAGGGTGGCAGCTGTGCCATCCCACACAACGAGTGACTGAGAAGCAGGGCTCATAATAAGTGTGTAAATTACTCAGGCTGCCAAAGGGAACAGGAGTTGCTCTAATTCTTCTGTGTAGAATTGGCTTCCTGGGGGCCCTGCACTGCTGCTGGAGCTAAAAACCGAGGTCTCCGGGGCGTCGTTGGCATTTCAGGACAAGTTGTCTCCACATCCACACTGGGGAGTCGGCTTTCTTTGAGGACAGGGGCTCCTTTCATCCTATAAAATAGGTATCTGCAGCACAAGAGGTGTTCCAGAGACTTGGGGTGGTCACCAGTGGTGGGAGATGGAAGGGGTGGTGGGGTGCTCACGGCAGCAGCTGCTCACCCTCCACCTAGCAGCTGATCTTTCCGGGCACAGGCTGTGTCCTGGGAGCATTCCAAGTCCTTTATACACAGTATGATTTCTCATAGTCTTTTTTTTTTAAGATTTATTTTTATTTATTTGAAAGTCAGAGTTACACAGAGAGAGGAGAGGCAGAGAGAGAGAGAGAGATCTTCCATCCGATGGTTCACTCCCCAATTGGCCACAGTGGCCGGAGCTATGCCGATCTGAAGCCAGGAGCCAGGAGCTTCTTCTGGGTCTCCCACATGGGTGCAGGGGCCCAAGAACCTGGGCCATCTTCTACTGCTATCCCAGGCCATAGCAGAGAGCTGGATAGGAAGTGGACTAGAACCAGCACCCATATGGGATGCCAGCGCTTCAGGCCAGGGTGTTAACCCACTGTGCCACAGTGCCGGCCCTTCTCTTAGTCTTTAAAACAACCCTAGGAAGTAGGCACAATTACTCCAGTTTTACAGATGAGAAAGCTTGTATAGACAGGTTTGTAAACTCACCCAAGCTCACCTAGCTAGGCAGTGGCTGGCTGAGGATTGGAACCCAGGCTGTCTGTACTACTAGCTGTTCAACCATACTGCCCCCAGAATAGGGCTTCTCTGGCACAGCTGAAAAACCAACTGAAAAAGTCAAGTATTCACTGGGCACCTGTTGTGTTCCCCAGACTGCAGGAGATGTCACAGGAGGTGTTGGTGTTCCTGAGTGCAGGACAGCTCCTGAAATGTGAGTGGTAAAATATGTATGTGTATGTATGGTAAATGTAAGTGGTAAAATATATATATAAATATATATGTACTTCTAGTGGTAAAATATGTGTAATACAAAATGTCTTTTAATTAAACAGGTCAGTGGTAATAAGATTTTCTATGATTGAATGAAATCCATATAACATAAAATTAACCATTTTCAGGTGAACCATCCTGAGGTATTGAGAACATTCATAATGTACAGCCACCACCTCTTTAATTCCAAATATTTTCATCTCCCCCAAAAGAAACCCTTGTTCCTCCTGCTCCTGTAACCCCCAGGGTGTTCTATCTGTGGATTTACCGATTCTAGATATTTCATATAACTTGAATTTACACTATGTGCTTTTTCTTTCACTTAGCGTGTTTCTGGGTTCATTCACGTTGTAACATATTCCATATCCGCTCTCCACTCTCCACATATTCAATACTATATTCCTTTTTTTGACTGCGTTCCATTCCGCTGTGTGCATACACCACCATCTGCATCCAACTGGTGAAGGACACTTGGACTGTTTGTACCTTTGGCTATTGTGACCAGTGCTGCTGTGACCATGGGTGTTTTCCATTGTTTGGGGTGTATCCTTAGGAGTGAAATTACTGGGTTATATGATAATTCTGTGTTTAACTTTTTGTGGTACTGCCAGGTTGGAATGCTGTATCTCACCGTTAGAATCTTTCCTTGGTATGTTGGCTTTCTCCAATGCAAGAAGAGGAGAGGGCTTCTTTCTAGGGTGAATAAGAGAAACGTAGTGTGGTGTCAGGGAGAGAAAACACACACTGGCCTGGTTTTCTTTTTCAACAATATATATTTATATTTAATTTTATTTGAATGAAAAAGAGAGAAAGAGGTCTTCTGTCTACTGGTTCACTCAACACATGGCTGCAACAGCCAGGTCTGGGCCAGGCAAGTGCCAGGAGCCAGGAACTCCATTCTGAAATCCCTCATGTGTGGTGAGGGTCCTAGTACCCAGGCTGTACTCCTATCCATCTTTCAGTAGCTTCCACGGCAGGTTATCAGGAAGCTGCACTGGAAGCAGAGCAGCTGGGACTTGAACCAGTACTCCAGTATGGGATGCTGGCACCACAATGGCGGCTTAGCCTGCTGTGCCACAACACCAGCCCCTCGCCTGGTTTTCAATCTCTGCTTTGCCACTTGCCCATAGCAGGTGCATAGGTTGGTTACAAGCCTCTCTGAGTCTCAGTTTCGTTCCTGATCTGTGGAAATAGAGATGATCACACCTTCCATTCATTCATTCATTCATTCAGTGACTGTTGAGAGCTTCCTGTGGGGATGTGGTGAGCAATCACAGAATTTATAGAATGAGGAATAAGAGAAAGGGAGGACCAGGTTGAATTATTTTACAAAGGGAAGAAAAATCATAGGAAAAGTTGATCCCTTACATCAACAGGCAGACAATGAGTCTAGCCATGTGGGCCTGTGTCCTCTCCCTCTCCATCCCGGTACCCCACACAGGGCCTGCAGAAAAAGATCTGTTCTTTAGGGCTCTGTGTTTGCAAGCCACAGGAAGTGAGTGGCTTTGTTTGACAAGGCTTACTGGGGAAAGGTTGGAATTGGTCTGGAATGGAAAGGAGAGCTAACCAGTGAGTCCTTCAGGTGGCTGGAAGAGCCCAGGCACTGACAGGGTTCTTGACAACAACAGGTTGGAGCGGAGCCCGCTTGGAGGTTGGCCATGGCTGACCTGCTGCAGCCTCCATCTCCCAGCAGAGAAGGCCCTGCCCTGGTCCCAGCATGCCTCAGAGCCCCTGCTCAGGGCGAGAGGGCCAGGGCCGCTGCCTGCCATTGCTGCTCGGCTGGGTGCAAGCCTGCAGGTTGTCCAGCAGTGGACAGAGGTTGTAGGACTCTGACGGATCTCTGGCAGGTGGTGGTCAGGTGCTGCGGCAGCCTGTCTTCGTGCAGAGTCACAGAGTGCAGAGAGGATATGGAACTGAAAGTGCAAATCAGCTTGATCTGAAACAGAGAAAACGCAGGCCAAGAGCACAGTGAAGAGAAAGCCAGCTGCAAAACCCACCGGAAACGCAGCAGCTGCGCAGTGCGATCAGAGCCCTGACCTGAGTGGCCGCTGCCCTCTTACCCTGATGTCCACAAAGGCCCGCTTTGCTCTTCTCGTCCGCTGCCGAGGATAATCAGTGACTCAGCCGTGCCGCCCATCGCAGTATGCAATCCCTAGTTAATCTCTGCTTTTCTTAATGCCACATCCAAACGGCAGCCAATCCAGAATGGATTTCCCCTTCTCTTAGTCCCTTCTTGGAATCCTTGAGGGAGCTGCCTTCCTCCCAGCAGTCGTCTGGAGCACCCTCCCTCCCTGAGTCCAGAATCTGATTTCGACAGGCTACAGCCTTTCGAGGCTGATTGGGCTTTAAAGGGTCCGGCAGCTGCTGGAACAGAGAACTGCGCTTGGCAGCCCGCCAGGACCATGAGATGGATGGGAAGCCGAGTGCTGTCACCAGGGAAGGGTGACCCAAAGTCTGGCTCCCGACGTAGGTGCTCAGCTGATGCTAAATATTGTCAATGAGCTCATGTGTTTAGAGACACTACAGCAGATCTTATAAAATTATGGACAATAATGCCTGTTAATGACCACGTACATGCTGCACACCAGGCATTGTGTGTCTACCAGCTCATTTCATCCTGTTCTTGAATTATTTTTTGCTTATTTGGAAGACAGGGGAACAAGAGAGAGAGATCTTCTACTCACTGGTTCACTTCCCAGATGCCTGCAGCAGCCACACTGGACCAGGCGGAAGCCAGGAGCCAGGAACTCAATGCAAGTCTCCCATGTAGGTGGCAGGAACCCAAGTAGTTGAGCTGCTGCATGTGGCCTCCCGGGGTGTACGTTAGCAGGAAGCTGTCTGATCTCTCATTCTAGATTCAGTAGGCCTGGTTGTGACCTTCATGTGTGCATGATTTTTTTCCCAGAAACCTTTTATTTTAACCTTTTATTTAAACTTCGTGCATTTCATATGGATGGCTTTAGGAACTTAGTGATTCTTCCCACCATATCCACCTTCCCACTGCTCTTCCTCCTCCCTCTCCTATTCCCATTCTTATTTTTTACTAAGATCTATTTTCAATTAACTATATACACATATGATTAACTCCATTAACTCTAAGTGAAGAGTTCAACAAATCGTATAAAAAAAAAACCTGTTCCTTAGCAGTCAACACAAGTGCTGTTCCAAGTCTCTGCATCTCAAAGCGTCACTTTCACTTGCATAGAATTCCTTTTAGGAGCTCTCCTGGCTATCACAGATCAGGGAGAACATGTGCTATTTGTGGTTTTGGGACTGGCTTATTTCACTAAGTATGATTTTTTTTTTAATTAATTTTTTAAAAGATTTTATTTATCTATTTGAGAGGCAGAGTCACAGACAGCGAGAGGGAGAGACAGAGAGAAAGGTCCTCTGTCCGCTGGTTCACTCTCCAAATGGCCGCAATGGCCGGAGCTGCGCCAATCCGAAGCCAGGAGCTGGGAGCTTCTTCCAGGGTCTCCCACATGGGTGCAGGGGCCCAAGGACTTGGGCCATTCTCTACCGCCCCCCACCCCCCCGGCCACGGCAGAGAGCTAGATTGGAAGAGGAGCAGCCGGGACTAGAACCAGTGCCCATATGGGATGCAGGTGCTGCAGGCAGAGGATTAACCCACTGAGCCACAGCGCAGGCCCCATAAGTATGATGTTTTCCAGTTTCATCCATTTTGTTGGAGACAGCAAGGTTTCATTTTTTTTTTTACCACTGTGTAGTATTCCATGGTGTACATATCCTATAATTTCTTTATCCAGTCTTCAGTTGACAGGCATCTGAGTTGATTTCATATCTAGCTATTGTGAATTGAGCTGCAATAAACATGAGTGTGCAGCTAACTCTTCGATATGCTGATTTCATTTCCCTTGGGTAAATTCCCAGGAGTGGGATGGCTGGGTCATATGGTAGGTCTGTATTGAGATTTCTGAGGTGTCCCCACACTGTCTTCCATAGTGGCTGTTCCAGTTTGCATTTCCAACCACATCCCCGCCAGCATTTGTTGTTTGTTGATTTCTGTATGACAGCCTTCTAACAGAGGTGAGGGGAAACCTCATTGTGGTTTTGATTTGCATTTCCCTGACGCCTAGTGATCCTGAGTGTCTGTTAACCATTTAGATTTCCTGTTTTGAAAAATGCCTGATTCAGTCCTTTGCCCATTTCTTAACCGGGTTGTTTATTTTGTTGTTGTGGAGTTTCTTGATCTCTTTATGTATTCTGGTTACTTATCCTTTATTGGTTGCATAATTTGCAAATAAGTTCTCCCATTCTGTTGGTTGCCTCTTCGGTATGCACTATTTTTAATATTTAGGGTTTTTTCACTCAACATTCAATCTGTGAAATTCATCCATGTTGTAGTAGTTTGTTCTTTTGCACTGTTTATAAGATTCTGTGGCATAATTGGCAATGATTTATTTTACCCATTCTATTGCTAATAAACATACATGTTATTCTCAACTTGGAGCTGTTTGTACAATTTTGTACAAAGACCTTAGCATGTATCAACACTCATTTCTGTTGGTACATACCCAAGAAAGGGCTGGGCCAGGTCAAAGCCTCGATCCAGGAACTCTCTCCAGGTCTGCCATGTGAGTGGCAGGGGCCCAGTTACTTGAGCCATCATCTGTTGCCTTCTCAGGTGCGTTAGCAGGAAGCTGGATCGGAAGCAGAGGAGGCAGAACTTGAATTGGCACTCTGATGTGCAGTAGGGGCATCCCAACTGGCAGCTTAGCTGCTACACCCGACACCCCCTGCTCAGTAGCACTTCCAGATGGTACAGGTAGTGCAGGGGAAATGGAGTGAAAGGGGCGTGAGAAGAGGAAGAGGAGGAATTGGGAATACTCAATAAACTAACTGACTCATTCAATAAATACCCTAAAACCATTAGATTTGCTATCTATTGTTTCAGAGCAAAGTACTCCAGAGCGTAGTAGCCTTGGACAACAGACATGCACGTCTCAGTTTCTGTGGGTCGGGAACCCATGCGTGCTTAGCTGGGTGATCATGGCCCAGGGTCACTGGAGAAGCTACGTTCAAACCCTTGCCTGGGCTGCAGTGATCCGAAGGCTTGGCCAAAGTGCGTGCTTCCGAGAAGGCGCACTCTCATGGCTGTTGATGGGAGGCCTCCCTTCCTCGCTGTTTGGATCTTCCCCGTAAGGCTGTTTATGGCGTACAAACTGCCTTTCCTCAGAACAGGTTGAGCCAAGCGAGCAGGAAGTGAGCTGCCTTTGTTGTATGGCCTGATCTTAAAGCTGCATGTCATCACTTCCTCCACCCCTTACACTGTAACCATTTGAAGTTACTAAGGCCGTCTGTATTCAAGGGGGGGACGTTGAATTCCTTACAAAGGAGTTTATAGAATTCGTGCAGTCTTTTAAAATAAGAGGAGTGGGCATTTAGCCTAGTGGTTAAGATGCTTGTGTCCCACCCCGGAGTGCCTGGGTTTGATTCCTGACTGTTGATCCTGACTCTGGCTTCCTGCTGATGTGGACCCTGCGAGGTAGAAGTGATGACTCATGTCACTGAGCTCCTGCCACCGCCTGGGAGACCTGGGTTGTGTTCCTAGTTCCTGGCTCCAACTCCAGCCAAGCCCTAGCCTGAGGGATCTGGGAAGTGAACCAGTGATAAGAGCTCACCCTTTCTTTCTACCTCTCAAAAAAATAAATGAAAATAATAGTCAAGTATATATAGTCACATATACATTCTGTCAGTCTGTACCTCTATAAAACATCATTGAAGTACAGAGGAATTATTAGTCAATAAATATTATTGTTGTAATTAACCATTGGTAAACAAAACAACAAAAACTATATTCTACCTCACATTTTTTAAAATTAGTTAGGTGGCTTTTTTTTTAAACAAAGATTTATTTATTTATTTGAAGGTCAGAGTTACAGGGAGAAAGAAAGACAGAGAGAGAGAGAAAGAGAGATATCTTCCATCTGTTGGTTCACTCCCCAGATGGCTGCAATGGCCAGGGTTGGGCCAGGCTGAAGCCAGGAGCCTCATCCAGGTCTCCCACCTGGGTGCAGGGGCCCAAGCACTTGAGCCATCTTCTGGTGCTTTCCTCAGGCTGTTAGCAGGAAGCTGGATCAGAAATGAAGCAGCGGGGACACAAACTAGCATCCATATGGGATGGCGGCACTGCAGGTGGCTGCTTAACTCAGCCACAACACCAGCTCCTCTACCTCACATTTATACCAGAATAAATTCCAGAGAGTTTAAACATGGGAACATTCAAGAGTGCTGGGAGAAATTTGTTAAAAAAATTTAAAATACTCTGGATATTGAGTTTTTATTTAATTAATTATTTTGAGAGGTAGAGTTACAGACAGAAGGAGAGACAGAGAGAGAGGTCTTCCATCCGCTGGTTCACCCCACAAATGGCCACAATGGAGCTGTACCGTAGATCCAAAGCCAGGAACCAAGAGCTTCTTCTGGGTCTCCCACGTGAGTTCAGGGGGCCCAAGCACTTGGGTCATCTTCCACTGCTTTCCCAGGCCATTAGCAGGAAGCTGGATCAGAAGAGGAACAGCTGGGACGCGAACCAGCACCCATATGGGATGCCCATGCTGTAGGCAGAAGCTTAGTCCACTACGCCACAGCATTGGCCTAGGATATTGAGTTTTGAGATGGCTTAAGGGAAACACATTGATGGATACAACTGTGACACCAAAGCTTAGGTACACTAAAGAAAAGATTGTCAGGATCACATGTGAAAATTCAATACTTCAGAAGAGAAACTCAAGTCAAAGGACAAATGAAAGCTGCAGAGAAATGTTTGCAACCTGTCAGACGACAAGTCCTGAGCTCTTGGATGCAGTGTCGGTACAACGTGGAAAGCTGCCGCTTGTGACATCAGCATCCCATATCGCAGTGCCAGTTGGAGTCACGGCTGCTTTGCTTCCCATCCAGCTCCCTGCGAAGGCACGTGGGAAGGCACCAGAAGGTAACCCACGTACTTGGACCCCTGCTATGCATAGGGGAGACCCAGATGGAGTTCCAGGCTCCCGGCTTCTGCCTGACCCAACCCTGGCTGTTGTGGCCGTTGAGGGAGTAAACCAGCAGATCAGTGATCTCTTTCTCTGTCTCTCCCTTTTTCTCTGACGCTCTTTCAAATAAATTAAATAAATCTTAAACAAAACAAAAACTGAACTCTTCAGTAAAGAGCCCTTACAGCTTCATGGGGAAAAAAAGAAACTCCACAATCTGTCTGAGCCGCTTGCCTGCTTTCTTGGGCAGCCTGACCACCAGATACACAGAGGCATCGCACTTGACCTGTCCGCAGGCCCCTCGGGGTGTTCCCGGTCCTCCGTCCTCAGGTGGAGTCTGTTGGCTGCACCTCTTTCTGTTCCTCACCTTCAGGTACTCTCCTCTCGCCCTCAGCTCCAAGCAGTGTCGTTAAGATGCTTCCTGTGCAGCCTCTGACTCACAGCGAGATGACGGCTCTGCCAGAGCTGATTTCAGCAAGAAAGCCTCCCGGAGGCGTGGACGGCGCTCCCGCGGTGCCCAGTGGCTTCCAGCTGGAACGCCTGTGCCTTCATTCAGCACCTCGTTCTCAGGCCCTGACCTTGTAGCTGGAGCTCTTAGCTGCAGCTGGAGCTCTGTTTCTTCTCTGAGTTTGTGTTCTTGTGGGAGAGTGTGGGCAAGAGGAAAGTTCCCAACCGGGAGATCTGGATCTGGGGCTCGCTCTGCCACTTTTGATTTGCATGACCGGGCAGGTTCCTTCCGGCTCTGAGCCTCAATTTCTCCCTCAGCAAAACAAGTGGGAGGACGGGAGGGTCCCCGTGGATTCCTCCAGCTCTGACATCTGAGGATTCAGCTCATTTCCTCTTCTCGACATCTGGTCTCCAGCATCTGGTTTAACCTTATTTGGAAGCCCCTGAAGAGTGCTGCTTAGATTGTGGAACCCACTGAGAGCAAGGAGAATGATTCCAATTACTGAAGTTCTCCTTGCTTTTCCTAAAAAAAGATTCTGTTCCTTGTGGAAAAAGCTGAATCACACACAGTAGATTGACGAGGGAGGCAGTAATTAGGCTAAGGGATGGCTGTGCACTGGTCTCCAAGTTTGCCATGGTGATGCCTGTGGCCCTATAATTTGAAAAGAGCATGTCAGGTTTCCAGGGCCTCAGGAATCTCCGATAGCCCAGGAGGCTGTCCAGAGTATGGCTGGCTGCAGACACAGAGAGAGTAGGCTGTGGGATTTATTTCAGTCCTTCCAGTCCCAAAGGATCGCTTTACCTATCTGTCATTGGGTCTGAAGTTTCTTTTTTTTCAAATAGTAGATATTTTATAACTTTATCCATGTAAAGATACCATAACCTTGGCACAACATGAAGTTTTTTTTTTTTTTTTAAGATTTATTTATTTATTTGAAAGTCAGAGTTACACAGAGAGAGGAGAGGCAGAGAGAGAGGTCTTCCGTCCACTGGTTAGCTCCCCAGATGGCTGCAGGGGCCCGAGCTGCACTGATCTGAAGCCAGGAGCCAGGAGCTTCTTCCAGGTCTCCCATGTGGGTGCAGGGGCCCAAGGACTTAAGCCATTTTCTACTGCTTTCTCAGGCCATAACAGAGAGTTGGATCGAAAGTGGAGCAGCCAGGACTTGAACCAGCACCCATGTGGGATGTAGACTGCTGTGTCACAGTGCCGGCCCTAACATGAAGTTTTTATATTTATATTCAAATACCTCATCTCTCAATTTCAAAGTCTACTATAATTCTGTGATGTTCAAATCATCAATAGTATCTGCTTATGAAATATTTATACTATTCAAAATTAACTTTTAAAACATAAAATAGAATCATTCTTTTTATGAAAAATTGGCTGCATTTATAACATTTATGAATAAGTCACTTTTATACTTAGGGATAAATCAGGATGACATCAGTTGGGAAATGTAATAAGAATGTGTTTGGCAAGCAAATACTGAAAAAAAATTTTTAAAGATTTATTTATTTACTTGAAAGGCAGAGTTACAGAAAGGCAGAGGGGGAGAGAGAAAGAGAAAGGTCTTATATCCACTGGTTCACTCCCTAGTTGGCCTCAACGGCTGGAGCTTTGTCTATCTGAAGCCAGGAGGCAGGAGCTTCCTCTAGTTATCCCATATGGGTGCAGGGGCCCAAGGACTTGGGCCTTTTTCTACTGCTTTCCCAGGCCATAGCTGAGAGCTGGATTGGAAGTGGAGCAGCTGGGAATGAGGTGGTGGCTTTGCCCACTCTGCCACAGCGCTGGCCCCCTGAAGTTTCTAATGCCAGGCTTTCTCCCTTAATGAGAAGGTCTTTGGCAGCAATGATTTTTGGTTACTCTGTGTGTGCCTCCCACCACTCACCCCTGTACGTCCACTCCTTTCTGATCCGGCCACAAATGTGGACATGGGAGCCAGCATGGGACAAACATGACACTTACTTTTTTTGAGTGAATGATTGTTCCAGGGATGGCCATGATAAACACAGTGCTGGAAGATGCAGGGGCCCAGTCCCTGGAATCACTGCACTGGGTGGGTGTGATCTGAGCCTTCCGCCAGGTCGCATTCTCACCATGGGAAAACACTGACTGGGGAACGAGGCCAAGCAGATGCAATAGAGGTGAGACATGGAGAGAGATGCAAAAAAGGTGTCACCAAGGAAATAAGGAACAAGCAGGGGGAAGAGGGAGTGGGGAGGGGAGGGAGGGAGAGAGAGACAGAGAGAGACAGAGACACAGAGAGACAGAGACAGAGAGAGAGAGAGACTGATTCACCCTGAAGCCTTGGTCAATGTAACTCCCCCTTATAGTCTTTCAGCTACTTCCCAGTCTCCACAGTCAATAAATCCTCTTTTTACTTCTGACTGTTTGAATTTGAGGGTTTTCTTTTTTGTTAGGTACAGTTACAGACAGTGAGAGGGAGAGACAGAGAGGGAGGTCTTCCATCCACTGGTTCACTCCCCAAATGGCTGCAACGGCCAGAGCTGCGTCAATCGAAAGCCAGGAGCAAGGAGCTCCTTCCAGGTCTCCCACGCAGGTGCAGGGGCCCCAGGACTTGGGCCATCTTCCACTGATTTCCCAGGCCATAGCAGAGACTGGATCAGAAAAAGAACAACTTGGACTTGAACTGGCGCCCCTGTGGGATGCCAGCTCCACAGGCAGAGGATTAACCTACTGCACCACAGAGCCAGTCCCGTTGAGGGTGCTCTGATGTAGAACTGTATCTCCAAGAAGCGCTTCCTAAACTGTAACTGCTGTCTAGAAGGGATAATCCGTGGGATGAGTGATGTTGAGTAGATTTTCATGTAAATTGTGAATGATGTGCAGAGCAGATGAGCTTTGACAAGGAAAATAAAGTGCTGCTAGAGAAAGGGCTTGCTAGACGAGGACAAAGGTTGGTGTTGGTGCAGTGGTCAAGACATCACTTGATCCTCACATCCTATATCGGGGTGCCTGGGTTCCAGGTCATCTCTGCTTCCAAACCAGCATCCTGCTGATGTGTACCCTGGGAGGCGGCAGGTGGTGGTTCAAATACTTAGGTCCCTGCTGCTGATGTGGGAGACCCAAATTGAGTTCTAGGATCCTGGCTTTGACCTGGCCCAACCTCATGTGTTGTGGGCATTTGTGGAGTGAATCAGCTGATGGAAGATCTCTCTGTCTCTCTGCCTTTCAAATAAATAAATAAATATTTTAAAAATAAAGAAACAGGACAGCACCGTGGCTCAATAGGCTAATCTTCCACCTGCAGCACTGGTACACCGGGTTCTAGTCCCGGTCGCTCCTCTTCCAGTCCAGCTCTCTGCTGTGGCCCAGGAAGGCAGTGGAGGATGACCCAGGTCCTTGGGCCCTGCACCCGCATGGGAGACCAGGAGAAGCACCTGGCTCCTGGCTTCGGATCAGCGTGGTGCATCGGCCGCAGTGGCCAATTGGGGGGTGAACCAATGGAAAAAGCAAGACCTTTCTCTCTGTCTCACTGTCCACTCTGCCTGTCAAAAAAAAAAAATAAATAAAAAATAAGCAAAAAGGCTAGCCCCTTGTACATTGTTGGTGGGAATGTAAAGTGGTACAGCTATTGTAGAAAACAGTGAGGTATTTCTTCAAAAAATAATACATCCAAGAGTGTTAGTCTGTGACTAGCAATTCCATTTATTGGGTATATACCCAAGAGGATTAAAAACATGTGTTCACACAAAACTTGCAATTGAATATTCATAGTGGTAGTATCCATAATAGCCAATAGGTTGAAATAACCCACTTGTGTCCCAGCTGGTGAATGGGTTTATAAAATGTGATGTAGCCATACAGTGGAAAACTATTCAACAGTTAAAAGGAATGAAGCAGCGACCCATGCTACAGCCCTGATGTAGTTTGTGAATATTATCAAAGCAAAGGGAGTCATGATTCCATTTATAGGAAATGTCCAGAAGAAATAAATCTGTAGAGACAAAATGTGGGTTACTGGTCGTCAGGAGCTGCGGAGAGGGAGTGCTGGGGAGTGGCTGCTAATGGGCATGGGGTTTCTTTGTGGGATGAAAATGGGAGCAGGAAATGGTGATGGTTGCACCATCTTGTGAAGATACTAAAAACCAGTATATTGTATGCTTAAAAAAGATGAATGTTTGGTATGTGAGTCACAGCTTGGTTGCTGTTCTTGTCCTGGTCGCTTCCAGTTTCACATCATACCATGCAGAGTATGTTTTGTGGGTTGACTGATCCTCCCCAGACATTCCTCCAGCAGTGCCCCCATCCCATCCCGCATCCTCTGAATTATGCGGAATCCTTGGGACACTGCCTGGTCTGGAGGGGGCACTGATTTCCCTTTCAAAGGATTCAGACCCTTTCTCACTTGCTCAGTTATTTTGCTGAGTCAAGGACCAGTCTTATCAGCTCAAAAGGGACAGGCAGCGGTGGAGTGAAACTAATTCATAATTTTGTTTAAATTTACTTGTCAAAAGCAGAAATATTCAATTTTATGGATACTCCCAATTCCCCGCACTGGGAGCAGACTTCCAGGAAGCAATTATGTAGAACAAAATGTAATGGGTAACAGGGGGTGCCTGGTGAATTATTCATAATCTGATAATGATTTTAACCCATTTTTAACGTGGCCTGCTATTGATGTTAGCTTCTGGAAAGCTCCCAAAGTAAGCTGCATGGAGGTTTCCTGTAGTCACGCTTACATAACCAGCTACCTCCTGCCTTTCCCCAAACCACCTGCGTAACCAAAATCAAAAGAGCGCTGGGAGCCCTTTCCCTCCCGGAGGCTGGAAGGCAGATGTAAAGGGAGCATCATAGGCTTGGCCTGGCACGTACGGCACCCCTCCTCCTACGCTTTGCTTGGGGAGGTTGCTGTGGCATTGTGCTCAGCCCAGTGCCTGACAGCAAGAAGGTACACAGTACTTGACAGGTTCTGCTTGCCGACTGAATGAGTGCTGGAAAGAATAAGCTGCCTGTAGTAAGGAAGAGTTGGGTTGTGTAGTCCTGCCTCCGACCAGTTGAGTGCTTTGGGCAGGAACCTTGCCCTCAGCTTCTTTATAAGACAGAGACAATAATAACCACCTTGCTTTTAGATACGCCTAAGTGCCCAGCTCCATTGCTTGTTTCCTTAGGTGCTTCTTTAATTAATGATAAAACTTGTTCTCAAAGAAAAAAAAAGAAAGTATATTATTGCAAAAATTAAAAGAAAAGAAAGGAAGTAGGAGGAAGGGTGGAAGTGAGGGAAGGAGGGAGAATAGGGTGGCAAATGTCATTATGTTCTTAAAACTGTATGAGATACATGAAGTTTGTTCCATTTATATAAATAAAAAATTAGAAAATTAAAAAAAAACTGCCTTGCTGG